TCATTTATTGGCCTTATTTCAGAGACCCATAGATAAATCTCAAAAGATATCAAAAGCTGCAATTAAACTCAGACCCATGCATGGCTGAACAGACTGAGGTGAATTGGAGCAGGGAGGGTTGGCATGGTGACCCACCCAAGCAGAGTCCCAAGCAGCCACTTGCTTCCACAATTCAAAACCACCACCATCCCCCCCGCCTGACTCTACCATCTCAGGACGGACTTCACCAAGATATAATCTTCTGAAAATTCTGGTATGCGGTTTTTGTGACTGAAATCTCCGGGTTTTCTTGGAGTTGAGATGGGATACCCCCCCCACTTCCCAATTCTCAGGGAAGACTGGCAGTCACCCCCACAAACCAACTCTAATGGCATCCTGTAAGTTCTTCTAAAAACCTTGCTTCAGAGACCCCTAAATAAATCTCAAAAGAAATCAAAAACTGCAGTTAAGCTCGGACCCATGCATGGCTGAACAGACCAACAAACCAGAGTAAACAAGAGGGAAGTGGTTGGTCTGTGCCCGCCCACTAGAACCCCCAGCAGCCACTTGCTTCCACAATCCGAAATCGCCACCATCCCCTCATCCTGATACCACTGTTTCAGGATGGACCTCAGCAAGATATAATCTGCTGAAAATTTTATAATGTGAATATTAGCACATCGAGCCCTGGCCCAGAGACTCAGCAGTAAGTCCCTAAAGACATCACATCACAGGAGATATCTCCAGGTACCATATTGAGCCGATTTCACTGGGGCTTCCCATATGGAGCAGGTGAAGTCTCCCCACCCCTACTCCAGATGGAATCCCAGTGACCAAGAGCTTCCACAAGCAAGGAACAGGGATGCGGGTTCCAGGACTAAATCTCCAGGCTTTCTTTTCCCCAATCCCCGTCTGCTCAGCAGACTGGCTGTCATGCCCACATTTGCCTCCTGGCAACATCTTAAAGCACCAACAGCCCTGGCACAGAGACACGGCAGCAAATCTCTGAAGACACCACAGCGCTGGAGATCTCTTGGGGCCCTATAGCAAGCCAATTTCACCGGGGTACCCCAGATGGAGTAGGTGCAGTCTCCTCATCTACTTCAGATGGAATCCCAGTGACAAGCAAGCCACCCCACCCCTGTAGGTGGGTTCCAGGACTAAATCTCCAGGCCTCATCATGGCAGAGGACCCGGACTATTTCTCCCCAGGTCCCTGCCCACCAAGTAGACTGACTGTCACACCCAGAATTTGCCTCCATGTGCCATCTTAGTGAACCAACAGCCCTGGCCCCAAGATTCCCATTTGAATCCCAAAATGGATTAGTGCTACACGAAGATGTCTCTGGAACCCAACCATTTACAATCTAGAAATTTACATTTACAATCAGGGTCGCATAAGATTTCATGATACTCAAGATGAGCAATGGAAAATAAATTATTTAGCATCTGCCCCTGGCAGGTAGGCTTGAATGGTGGTGGAAAAATTCAAGCAAAACACGATGCACCGAATTAGAGAGAGAATATTGGGGAAATTGTCTGCCATAGATGCAGGGTGAGGACTGGGATGTGGGGATGGGGGGATGGGGGGTACTGTGGACTTTGTTGTTGGAAAAAGTGCACTGATGGAGGGATGGGTGTTCCATCGTTATAAGGCTGAATCTTCAACGTGAAAGCTTTGTAACTGTATCCCATGGTGATACAATAAAATAAAAAAAAAGTAATGTGGCGTTCATGCCCAATTCAATCAGTTCAATTAATGACTGAACAAATAGCAGTACTCCTACATTATTTTTTTAAAAAAAGAAAATGAATTAATATAAGAATTATATAAAACACTAGTAATAGAACTTTAAAAAAAAATCCAAGCCCATCAAAATATAGGAAGGAGATATAAAAGAAACTTCTTAAAGAAGAAATAGAAACGGTCAAAAAGCAGATGAAAAAATCTCTGGATCATTAATTATCATGGAGATTCAGATCAAAACAACATTGGGATCATCTCATATTATAGACATAAACAGAAACAGAAACAGACATAACACATAAACAGAAACAAGAATAACCAGTGCTGGTGTGGATACAGGGAGAAGGGACTCTCATTCATTGCTGGTGGAAGTGGTGGCCACTCCAGCCTTACTGGAAAACAATATGGACATTCATTAAAAAAAAGTATAGTAATTGAGCTTCTATTTGACCCAGAAGCCTCACTTCGTTGACCTCAAGGACCCTAAAACAAAGTGGAGAAAGACATCTGTGCCCCTAAGCTCCTTATAGTACTATCCACAATAACCAAAATCTGTACAAGACCCATGTGTTTACGAACAGATGACTGAATAAAGGCACTATGATACATACATTCAGTGATAGGTTATTCAATGATAAGAAAAGATAACGTACTTGAAATGTGCTGCTACATGGAGGATTCTAAAGAGCATTATGCTAAGTGAACTTAGACAGAGAGAGAGAGACAGAGACAGAGAGAGAGAGCGCGCAACACAGAATGATCACTCTCATATTTGGGATATAACGAAACATAAAGCATAAAGGTGGAATTATGAATATCCAAAGGCAACGGAAACAAAGAACATGAGAACTGCTATTTACTAGAAAACAGGTTACATGAGGGGTTGAGAAATAGGACAGGGAGGGGGCGATGTCTATGGTGGAGGGAAGTATTTAACCCGGAGAAGAAGGTGGTGCAAGTGTTATGTATCAACCTCAATAAGGTTTTTCTATAGTAATAGTACTATAGACCAGAGTGCAAAAACTCATATATATATATATATATATATATATATATGCATCTATTTATGTAAATATATATGAACACACACAAACACATATATATATATATATATATATATATATATATGAACACACATATTTTGTTAAAGGGCCTCTCTTAGAAGTAGACTGGTGGGAGAGAAATGGGATATACGTGTATATGGGGAGGGTGCATTGGTGGAGGGAAGTGGACACTGGTAAAGGGATCAGTGTTGTAATATTGTACGCCTGAAACCTAGTCATGAAATCATGAATAACAATAATTTCATGATGAGTAAAAAATAAAAATAATTATAAAAATTAAAAATAAAATGACTGGCTTTACATTTGCTTTAACATATCTAAAATAGTACATGCAACTGTGTAAAAGACAAGTAGGTGATAATTATTGCATACTTTTAATGACCATTTTTTCTAATATATGAAACAGTAAGCAACAAAAGCCTCTTGTACATTTTTTCTATATTTTAAGCAATACTATAAAAACTCAAAATGGAGACGTTACTGGGCTTGCTCGAGAAAATCGATGAACAATGGGAGGACAGTGACAGTGACAGTGACTATAACAAAGGCAAAAAATAAATGTGTGCTTCAAACATGCATATAGGAATATGTTAAGGACAGTATATTTTTTCAGTATTTGCAACAGTACAGATCTGATATATGGTATATAATTGTTGTATATCAAAGTCATCAAATTTGCTTAAATATATATAGTTATAACATATTAAAGAGAAAATTAGGAGTATGCTAGTTTTTTAAATTATTTTTTAGTTTTTGGTGACACCTGACTATCTTGAGGCTTACTTCTGGCTCTGTGTTTTGGGATCTCTCCTGGTAGACTCAGCAGACCATATGTGCCAGACTGCATGCAAGCTACATAATAGCTCCAGACCAAGACACAGTATTTTTCAGTTTTTAATATTTATTTCATTATTACTATTTAAGTAATTACTGCAAATCTTAAGAGTACTGAATCGACTGAAAAATTAATTTCATATTATTTTATAAAAATAATTTTTTCAGTAATTTAAATATGTTTAAGGATGAACGGTAATTATAGAGAAAATGGCAATGGTAAATTCATATGTAATAGAATTAAAACAGTTTTTATTTTTCATTCATTGGTCTCATCAGAGGATGTTCAGGTTACACTTCTAGCTCAGTTTCTTCAGAGTTGCTTCCTGAAATGCTTTGGGAAATACACAGTATAATAAACAAGGTCACAGCCAAGATTTTTTGAGAGCAAAATATACAATCAGCTCATTGGGCTATCTTTTCTGCATATAAAGTAAAATATTTTGAACCGAAAAGAAAGTCAGTTTCAGAAAGTCTGTTTCTCGGGACCAAGTGGTAGTACAACAGGTAGGGCCTTTGCCTTGCACGTGGTTTGATCCCCAGCATCCCACATGCCTCCACCCCCTGACACCATACACTGCCAGGAGTGATTCCTGAGTGCAGAGCCAGGAGTAACCCCCATGCCTCATCGCCAAAAAGAAAAAAAAAGTTTGTTTTATACTTGATCTAGAAAACAATAAAACTATTGATACTATTCAGGAAGAATGAAAAATTAAAGGGTGTATATGAGGTGGGGGCGGTTAAAATTCATGAAAAATCATTTTAGACTAACCATTTTTTTAAAAAATTGGTTTTGGATGAGAAATTATTCAGTGAAAAAAATAAGTTTCTAGTCTAAAACCATGATGCTGAGGATAGGATCCTAAATACCACCTACATGGGGTGAGCACAATTCCTATGATAATGGTGTTGGCTCTCTGTACTACAACAAAGTACACATGTGTCTGGTGCACCATCAGGTGTGCACTGTGACTGAAAGTGAAGTATGTGACCACTGGCTAGAATCACAACAGATTTGCAAGCAGCAAAACCCAGTGTGCACAACTTCTGATTACCACATTATCACTAGCAACCAAAGAAATGGAAGGCAGTTGAAGGAAATGTTGGCATAGGTGTTACTAAGGTTACAGAAAAAATACTTGAGGAAATATTCATTCTTTGTATTATTCCTGGAAACTCATACTGACTCACAAAAATACATGAATAAAAAAAATTACCATCACATGGGACTTAGTCATCAACTGATAAACTTATTTTAACAATATCTACAACTTTTCACTTGAAGTGCTTTGTAAATGCTGAAGGGAGAGAAATTTACATTTAGAAACATCCTAAACAATCACAAATGCATAAAGTAATTAATTATTCATTACTTACAAAGGTTGTGTTTTCCAATAATAATGTGGTGGCATTTGTTTCTATATTCAGTTTAATGACATGTCCATTCTCGCTTTTATACACCACATCTGTATCTGAAATAACAAAGATATTAAGAATTGACAAACACATTGACTAGATAATATGAAAACTATAGAGGGGAAAATGCGCATAGTAAGTGGACACATTAGAACAATCACTCTAAGTTCTTAATAACCTTAGCAGATTTCTGCACTTGGCTCACTTAATTCTTTTCAATGATCAGGAAATCTGCCTATCACCTGTCCTATTATACAATGAAAATAGGGTTAGTGAAAGGGCCATTCAGATTCCTGTTTAACAAATAAAAGTTAATTAAAATAATGGGCAATCTGTTGCCCATCTGAGAGACGAAGGAAGGGATAAAAAGGATACCGCCAGTTTGTAGGGGATGCTATTACTGATTAGTGAGGTATGAACACTTTCAAAACAGGCTATTTATAGATTAAAGGGATGATACAGTATTTATAAAATAAAAACGTTATTGACACTTTAAAAATTTACAATCTTTCCATTTTCCCTCAATTCTTATTATTTCCATGGCACTATATTTTCTTAGTTTCTTTCCATTCTAAGAAGTAGATAATATTAAAGGGATGTTATAATATTAACTCATAGTTAATGATGATATATAGGTTACAATATCTCAGGATTTGAATGCCTTCAACTCAATGGTGATAAATACTGCATGGCCAGTTGTACAGATTATGTGGAAATGTCTGATGTTTAATGGTAGAGAAAATTTTTTCTACCTATTACTCAATTATTCCAATATAATAAATAGTACTAAACACCTATCAGTCCTCTGGGGGAAAATGTAGTGTTAGCAAAAGGATCAATTTTTTATGCTACATCATTCAGAATGACATGGTTCCCACCAGAGTTACAAATGACATGTAAGGTCAGTAGTCCTTGGTCTTACATACATAGGTACATTGCCATATTGGAACACCGGAAATATATAATGGAGTTTTATGAAAGTATTTGAAGGAGCAAGGAAAGACTTCCATATTGCAATGATTGTATGGGTAAAAAATGTTCATGTAGTATTTAAAATAAGTCATTCTTTACCTTCTAAAATTCTTAGACAAATGAAAAAAGTTTTTGTTGTTCCTTCACCCTTAATTTTACCTATTATCTTCATTCATAAAAAGGCAACATGCATGACAAATATTTTATTTATCTTAACCTTCATCAAGGCTGAAGCGATAGCACAGTGAGTAGGGCGTTTGCCTTGGACGCGGCCAACCCAGCTGACATGGGTTCGATTCTTCCACCCCTCTCCGAGAGCCTAGAAAGCTACTGAGAGTATCTCTCTCACACAGCAAAGCCTGGCAAGGTACCTGTGATGTATTCAATATGTCAAACACAGTAACAACAAGTCTCACAATGGAGACACTACTGGGCCCGCTTGAGCAAATCGTTGAACAACAGGAGGACAGTGCTACAGTGCTAACCTACATCATTACTTTCTATACCATATTTATGATTATAGGTCAACCACAACTTGCTGCTAATTTTAAACCACTGCCCTCTCAATCCTAATCTCCTGCTCAAAAATGAATTTTGCTCAAATCAATAGCATAACCACAAATAAGACCCCTTGTCATTTTCTTTAATGTTTTCGATTCTGGAACACTTAGCAAGTAATTAATATAATCAGCATAAAAATAAAAGAATTACATAGCATATCTCAGCAAATTATCCTTGTAATAGTTTCTTAATAAATGAAGAGAGAAATATCTCTTCCCTTTTTTGCACTGTGAAGAAAATACAGCAAAACAACACTCAAAGAATGTTGCTTTCCGAGACATTAAGGGGCAGGGTCTGTGATCGCAGATATAAATGAAAGAATGCAGAGAAATTTTAGTGTGAACACTGGTTCTTATTTGTCACTGTCACTGTCCTCCCGTCGTTTTGCTCGAGCAGGCCCAGTAACGTCTCCATCGTAAGACTTGTTGTTACTGTGTCTGGCATATCGAATACGTCACTGGGAGCTTGCCAGGCTTTGCCATGTGGGTGAGATACTCTCGGTAGCTTGCTGGGCTCTCCGAAAGGGGTGGAGGAATCAAACTCAGGTTGGCCATGTTTGCTGTGTGCAAGGCAAACGCCCTACCGCTGTGCTATCGCTCAAACCATCGCTCCAGGTTCTTATTTAACGGATGAGAATAGCATTCTGCTCCACAGGCTCATTGTAAAAGAAAATGCTAACAGGAGATGAGTTGTATGAAGGGTGAAGGAGCAAAAAAAGTTTTCTTTTCTATGGAAGCATAGTAGAAAGAAGCAGATATTATTTGAAATTATAGGAACTACTTGAAACATTGATTTTTAATGTATAGTTTATTAGAAAACTACTTAAGAAATTTTATATTTGGGGACTGGAGTGATAATACAGCAGGTAGGACATTTGCCTGACACACAGCCAACCAGGGTCTGATCGTCTGATCCCTGGCATTCCTTATGGACCCCTGCACCGCCAGGATTATTTCTGAGTGCAGAGCCAGGAGTAAACCCTGAGAATCTCCAAGTGTGACCCTAAAAGCCAATAGATGAATAGATAGATTAGATAGATAGATAGATGATAGATAGATAGATAGATAGATACTTAGATTTGTATATATTGCTAAATCCACACTAGTACAAACTTGGGGCTGAGAGCCTCCCAAGCATTAACAGGAGACGAGGTCACCTGGGCAGGTTTTTCAGTGCAAGGATATAAGATGTGGTGCTGCTGGCCCTTATGGTACCAGGGATTACCCTGTGACCCTGCAATGCTCAGTGGCCTAGAGTGTGACATCTGGCAATATTCAGAAGCCTGCAGGGTTACAATGAGCTCAGGGCACAATGTGAAGCAAACCTAGATCAGCCATGTACAATACATATAATATATGTGTGTAAAGGTAAAGGCCCTCCCGTTGATCATCGATTTGCTCGAGCGGGCCCAGTAACGTCTCCATTGGAGACTTTGTTGTTACTGTGTCTGGCATATCGAATACTCTCGGTAGCTTGCCAGGCTCTCCGAGAGGGGCGGAGGAATCGAACTCGGGTCGGCCATGTTGGCCGCTTGTAAGGCGAACGCCCTACCCGCTGTGCTATCGCTCCAGCCATATATGTGAAAATATGTGTGTGTATATATATATTATCTGTGTCTAATATATATAGTAAACATATATACATATATGCCTTCAACCCTGTACTGTCTCATGTCCAACACTGCAAAATTTAAGATTGCATTCCTAATGCCCCATTAGTAAGAGTAACCTGTTTTATAACTCATGTAACTCTTTAATATTTCATAAAGATTTCTGTGTGGATTATTTTTAAAACTATAAACATATATCTTTATTAATTATTTTAATTATTTCAATAGCAAATTTGTTCTCATTCATCGTAGTTCGCTGTTTGATTTATAATGACTTGTGGAATCTCCCATTTTTGAAATCTATTATTGCATTAATAAATTACTTTGCGAAAATATATTTCAAAGCTGTCACTTCATATATTATTTAATATTAGGTAATGAAATCTGAGTGAATCAGATCAATGAGTGAAGTGCATTAACGCAGAATGATTAAGGAGGGTGTCGTTGAAACATTCCTAAAACACAGTGTTATACATGTCTATAGCGTGCTCTGATAAGATGATCTTTCTTTCTTCAGCTTTTGAAGTGAAAAGTTGTTAACAAAATAGAATCACTGTGCACTCTCTCCATCCCTAACCCCAAAACTGTTAATGTCTGTCCTCATAAATTATCAATAAAATCATTTCTGTACAATTTCTTTTTCCATATTTTCACTGCTAGAGGAAATCCTAGTTAAGATCTGGCAAGTAAATTCGAAGCTTATTTCATACTCTGTCTTCAAACAATGAGATGCAGTGAAAGTGGAAGGGTGGAGCTGATTCCTTTGTTATTCCAGTTGATCACTTTGGATCTCTGGGACCAACGGGAATCAGGAATCAAAGGGTGTGGGAGCCAGCAACAAGCTGAATCTCTGCTCACTCTCTGTACTCTGTCTCTGTCTTTGTTACACCCGTGACTCAGTTTCCCAAAGACCACCAAGGAGCTGATTCCGATGCAAACACATGAGGGTCTTTATTGCAAACTCTGGTTTGGGCTCTCAAGCAACACCGGCACAGCAGGTTGAACCCTGAGCTCTTAAGGAGCAAGATTTTTATAGAGTTTATAGCTAGATGTAGGGAATTGAAAAGGCATAATTACAGGATTGGCTGATCTTTACAATTTGAAGAGTGCAGGAGCTACAAGATAGGCTACATTCCACCTTACCCTGTTACTAGCTTCTACATATAATCTGTGGGGATGTTCTGTGCTGTAAGCTCCTAGCAAACAGCTTCTGATTAGATGTGGCCTGGGAGGTTCTGGTTTTAGGCACCCTGAGGTGTTTCTAGATAACGGCCCTTTGTTCTCAGAATGGGCTGTTCCAGAAACTGGCCTATGCTGCCTTTCCACTAATGAAGCCTGTCATGGCATAGCTTTTGTTCCTCATATCTCTCTCTGTCTCTCTCTGTCTCTCTGTCTCAGTTTCTGTCTCTCTCATGTCTAGATAAAGGGCATGACCAAAGTAGAGCTTTTATCCCTAGCAGAAAGGAGGAAGAAATAGGGAATCCTGCCCACATGCACAGGGATGGGACCAGAGTATAAGAGAAGCCAAGGGGACATGGAGTTTCAGGGACACGATATTAGAGAGGAGCAGAATCAGTTTCTAGAGCAACAAGTCGTACCCAGAGAACACAGGTGACACAGTTCCAGCTGCAAGTCTCAGACTAAGAAAGTATATATGGGAGGCCAGGCCTTTATACACTGGGGGCAGCTGACAGAATGGACACAACTTAGGACTTTGTACACTGCACAAGCAAGGAGACACAAGACAAATAAATGGATAAACGGAGAAGATTTGGGATTGGGGGTGGCAATGGGCCAATTTACCTAGTTACTAAAATGTACTAATCATCAATCTCTATCTTAAATTTCTGAGTTTTGTATGCAAACATTGAAATCAATTCTCAAGAACCCTCTTCAAGGAGGATTCTTTCATGC